AAGCACTGCTGTTGGCATTGAGGATATAGCCGTGAATGAGGAAAGTCCCTGCCTCAGGGTGCTTACTTTCTGCTTGGGAGAAACATAAGCAAACCAGCTTGGCCATGGATGGGGACTACACAGGGGAATTAAAACTAGAGAGTGGTCAGGGCCTGTTCACAAGGGCGCTGAGTGTTCTGCTAAGGGCTCTGGACTTTACCCTGGAGGACAGCAGGGAATGACACAATAGTTGCCCCTTTGAATGGAATAGAGAGGGCTGAGTTTGGGGGTAGGTTCAACACAGACTACTGCAAACAAAATTTATTTTCCTGGAGCAGTAAAGGTAGGAAATAGGGAAATAGGAAGTGAAAGTCTCAGACTAGAAGCCAAAATAGAGGCTCCTTCTTGAATTCACAGTCAACTAGTTGGTTTGACAGAGAAGACCAAAAGCTGAAGGTTCTTTTCCTGTGATGAATTAACAGGTGTGGTTATTATAATCTGGTGAAGTATAATTTTAAAAAATGTTTTATGTTTATAATTTCATAAGGAGTTCTGGCAGCCTAGTGGTAAAAAGCTACGCTGCAATACCATAGGCATGTGGTTCAAATCCACCACCTGCTCTGCAGGAGAAGGATGGGAAGTCTTCTCCTCTGCTATTTATTACCTCTGAACACCTACTAGAAGCTCAGCTATGGGCCAGTTTTGACTTGACAGCATAAACAACAACAACATATCATTTTATATCCATACCTATCTCAGAAGAAAGGAACAGATATTTGTGTAAGTAAGGACAGCTCATGTCTCCTAAGGACCTAGAACAAAACGGGTGTCACAGAACCAATAAATAACCAAGACAGTCTGAATGAGCACTCAGCGAAAGAAAGGGAAGACTCTCAAGGAAGTGGACTGACACAGTGACTGTAACAATGGGCTTAAGAATATCAGAGATAATGAGGACGGCACAGGACTGGGTAAGGTAGAGATAGGCTTTCACAAGGTTGCTATCGGTCATACTCAACTCGACAGCACCTAACAACAAATGTGAACACATGCTGTTTGGAATTTTCCATTCTTTCTCCATCTCCACATTTTTAAGATTTTTCATCAACATCATTCCCAATGACACGTGATATGGTAGAGACATAGAACTTTCATCTCTAAACTAATGGCTGTAAAGTCCCAGTCACAAAGAAACCCTACTCCCAGGGCCCTCCCTTCTATACCAACCCACATCAGAGTTTCTGTAGCTCTTCTAGGATGCGGGTATTTACGACGTAGGAAATCCTACGGAGCAGTTGACATGCCATTCATTGATCTCAGAGAATGTTGTTCTGGCTCTTTCCAGACTGAGGAGGATGTGAGGGTTTGTGTTTCTCAGCGTTTTGATCAAAGATACACAGCTGTCGCGCGAGAATGCCTTGCAAATGTAATCTGAATGTTAGCCCAAGGCAAAGACTGGGCCTGCCTCACCATCTGTCTCAGGCCACGAGGACTATTTCTGGATGAACACCTCTTGCAGGGGTCAAATATTATCACTGACATTTGCCAAGGGAAATAACAGAGGTAAGAAAAAACAGGAGTGGTATAAGCCTGGACAGTCTCATAAATCAACACACACCAATATACAGCCTTTATAGTGAAGATCAGAAGAGAGAAATCAGGATGATGGAATATAGAAGTGAAAAATGAACTGTTCAAGAGGCTTCGTGAAGGCAAACCTGGAATTTTCATTTCTACAAAGCTTCTGACCAGCTCGTGTAGAGTGTTAGAAAGGGAATGAACTTCTTTTAGTCAGCATTTGGTCTACAGATAAAGGCGAATAAGTCAATTTACTATTTAAAATTAGTGTCTTGCAGCTGATTGGCTGCTGGCTGGCATCTCTGTAATTTTTTTTAAGAAAAGAGCTTTAATGTAGACATATTTTTGTCATTTGAAACCATTTATTTATAGTTTTATTTTAATTTAGATGATTTTCATTTTTAAAATTATTTATGTGATAGTTTGAAGAAACCAATTGCTATATAAAAAAACAGTAGCAATTTCTCACTCCTTCCTTCACTCCTCTCTCCAGAGGCAACAGCTTTCACCTTTTCATTGAGTCCTGTCATATTTACTTATATTCACTCACTCACTGTTGTTGAGTTGGAATCTACTCATCTAGCCCTTTAGTATGTTTTCAGTAGTTCTAAAGATAATGCTTATATATACATATACATACATATATATACACACATATGTATATATTTCTTTTTAAAAATAGAAATAATTTAGGTAAAAACCATGGTTAAAACTGAAAAACTCAAGGAGTATATATATATATATATATATATATATATATACTTATATAAGTAAATGCATATATACATCTATACATTTATATAAGTATATGCATTCACACATATATATATACCTTGAGTTTTTCATTTTAAGCATGGCTTTCCCTAAATGATTTCTTTTTCTTTTGTACACTTTCCTTACACTCTGTCCAGTTTAGTATTTTATTCACCTCATTACTTAATATTTACATTATAACTATGAAAATAGCATTCATATAATAAATGATGATTTCCCCCCCTTTCCTGGTCTTTTTCTCTTTAAGGTAAAAGCAGATATTTTTTGTTTATTTGTTTACTTGGTTTCCTGTGTATTTATCACTTATTCGGACCTGAACCTGGCTGATTCTCTAAAGTTCTCAAGATGTTCAGTGCATCTCGTTCTCTAGTCTTTGGCATCTCCTAAAGTCATCTCTCTCGTCGCCTTCCAGAAGACTTGTCCTTGATTTAGGCACACTTTGCCACCTTGAGATTCTGTTCACTAGCATCTTGATGGTCTCTGGGCCTCTTTCCCATGCTGACTCTCCTGTTTTCTAGATTCTGTGTTGTCTTTGCTCAGTAACCCTCTCATTTTGCTGGAATACATCTTCTAGTAACTTGTTGGGATCGAATTAATGGGAGATGGATTTTTTGAGGCTGTTGTGTTGTTGTGAGGTGCCATCAAGCCTATGAACAGCAGATATGAACCCTGTGCTATCCTGTGCCATCCTCACACTTCCTGACACACTATAGTCCTTTGCAGCAGCCACTTTGTCAATCCGTTTGGCTGAGGATCTTCCTCTCCTTCACCTTTCAAGCATGATGTCCCTCTCCAAGAAATGGCCTCTCCTAGCAACATGCCCAAAGTATGAGACAAAGCTTGATCTTCTTTGCCTCCAAGAAGCACTCTGGCTGCACCTTCTCTAAGACATATGTGTTTGTTCTTTGTGGCTGAACATCTTTATTCTACCTTCTCGAGTGATTGATTGTTAACATAGACTTCTAAATTGGATGTAATTTGCTTCAAAAATTTGAGGTAGTTTTATCTTGTCTTCTAGCTTTCAGTGTTGCTGATGAGAAGTTGAAAGTCAGTATAGTTTCTTCCTTCTTGTATGTTGACTGCATGCTTCAGTGTAAGATGATCTATTTGGACGCTTTCACTGGAAGAATTTCAGTGTCAGTAACCTTTCATGCGGACTGCTTGCATTTTCCAGAGAATGCTCTTCTGATCGTACATCCAGAGCTTCATGTTGAAGTTCTAGCTTCCACTCGTTTGTGGCTGAGGGAGGGTCACACCATTTGTATACATATTCTTTTAGTTATCCTTTCTTCAGGAGGATACTCTGTCTCTTCTTTCCAGGATAGTGCTTCAGCCTTTTTTCAGTATCCTGCTTGGATGGAGTAATTACTATTTTTTTTAAATTTTTTTTAAAAATTTTTTTAAATTTTTTTTTTGATGGAGTAATTATTAACTGAGCCAAGGTTGGAGTGGGTGAAGGGATTTCAGAATCAATCTCTTGTCTCTCTCTCAACCAATTCTCCTTATTTTATCTATGCCTCTCTTTATCTCCACTACCACCAATGTATACAGTGGAAATCTGTTTGATATTCAGTTTTCTCTACTATCAGTTTAATAGTCAACTTTCTAAATCAGCTACACCTGCTGTGCTTCCCACTTTCAAAATTTATTTTCTACTTCCTCCTCTTTGATTCTAACTACCCTTATGCCTTCTTAAAAATCCCTGTATTGCTATTTTAATAGGATTTGTAGAGGGGGAAAAATGAGATGTATTTGTTCAATCTGTTTTTACCCAGAAAACTTTTAATTAGAAGTGGTGGATGTGGTGGTGATGGTGGTTATGTGCCAGGTAGATGGAATCAACTTATAGCTGACTTCCTAGTGGGTTATCAGAGGCTGTAAATCACACGAGAGGAGATTGTCCATGTTTCTTTGTGGAGCAGCTGGTGAATTTGAACCACCTGCATGTAAGTTGGGGTGCAACTCCTTATGCACTAGATCTCCAGAGGTTCCTCAGTTAGCGATTATTGTTGGGTGTGATTGAGTTGACTATGACTCATAGTAACCCTATGAACAAGGGTTTGGACCCTTTCGCTGTCCTGTGCCCTCTTCATCATCTCTGATGGAATTGAGCCCATTCTTAGAGTAATTGTAATCCCCCATCTCCTTGAGTGTTGTCATCTCTTTCTCTGACCCTCCATGTTTCTAAGCATGATGTCTTTTCCCCCCAAAATGACTGGCCCCTTCTAATAACATGCTCAAATATGTGAGACAAAGTTTCACACCTTTGCCTCTAGGAGCATCTAGGGTAAGGAGATATAATTCCTATTTCTAAATCTTTAACATCAATTGAAACCAAGGAATTAGTAGAGAAATGACATAAAGTTTCTTATCTTAGAACTTCAAATTATATCAGAGCTTGAACTTTGTTCTCTGCCATTTGCAAGTTTATGAAAAATTTGACATTTGCATAACTTGCCTCAGCCTTGGTCTTATTCACCTGTAGAACCGAGATAATAATACAACTAAAGTACAAATATAATGTGCTTTTTTATGTGTTTTCTAAATTCTAGAACACAGTGAGTGTTTAATTAATGGCTTGAATTATGCTGGCTGCCGATAAAAGAACCGTCAGAAAAGAAAAACCACAGGTAATGATTTTGTACCCCTCTGACTACATGATGCTAAACATGATGCAGAGAAGATATGATTTTGTGGGCTCACTTTTCCACGTCATGATCTTCAGAAACCTGAGCACAGATAAAAAGAAGTTAGTACTATATTAATAACCCTAAACCTAAGTCATTAAAAAATAACAACACAGATACATTTATAACGTAGGTCTTAAGGTTCCAAGACTTAGACTTATTTTGTCTCATTAAGCTGCTCAGCACACATAAGCCAACAGGAAGCCACATCCTTCCTCATTTTGATGAGAGTACAAACATCCTTGAAAAGAAAGTCTACGAAGCAGGAAGTGCAATTTGGACTGACTGAGAACTCAGGAAATTCTCCTGTGAGAGGCAATAACTCTTTCCTTTTTTTTTTCCACTTTAAAGAAATAAAATGTTCATTTTTTTACTGGTTTACTTACAAAGTCCATTTAGATTGGCAATTACTCTTTCTATTGTCATGAAATTGGGATAAAATAACTTTCTTGTCAGTTTTAAAGATCCTTTTAACGATTACTAAAATTTACAAAAGCATTTTATGGATTATAGATGCATGGATAGCTACACGCTCATTTGACTACAATAAGTCCATTTAGCAGATAAAGGAAATTGAGTTGGATCTGATGCTAACTGCCTTAAGTTACAAAGTCAGGGCCAGAGATGAGAATAAAACCCAGATATTCTAATGCCAAATTCCATGATCTTTCTTGGGTCTATACACAAAGTTTCTGAGAAGCAAGCCAGGAGGAACTGAGAGTAAAGGTAAGTGTAGACTGTTCTCTGTACTCTCTTGCCTGTATATGTTGGTTTTTTTAAAATTTCATTTTATTTTCTTTTTTTGCCTGTGTGTGTTTTATTTGTATCTCCTAACTCTTGAACACAAACATTTCCTTGAATGGTTCCAAGGTAGCTCAAGGTCAGTGGTTCTGCTCAAGAGGGTTGATATTTCTATATCAAAAACCTTTTACAACCTCTTTCTTCCAAGTCTCCTCAAAGTGCTGTGCTCTACTGGAATGTAGATAGGTCTGAGAAGGAGCTTTAAGATGAGAGTTTGAACTGTGGTGTTGAAAAAGAGTACTGAATATCCCTTGGTGGTGTTGAAGAAGAGTACTGAATATCCCTTGGTCTGCCCAAAAAAACAAACAGATATGTCTTGGAGAAGGTGTAATCAGAGTGTTCCTTGGGGCAAAATAAAGTTCCATCTCACATGCTTTGTGCTTGTTGTTAAGAGACACTATTTCTTGGAGAGGGACATCATGCTTGGAAAGGCAGAGGGCCAATGAAGGAGAGGAACACCTTCAACCAGGTGGATTGACACAGGGACTACATCAATGGGTTTCAGGTGTCAGAGATTGTGAAGATGGCACAGGATAGGACAGGGCTCAGGTCGGCTGCTTATATGATCACTATGAATCATACTTAACTCAATGGCACCTTACAACAACAACCACCACCAGCTTGAGAAAGGTTGGAAGAAGTAACATATGACTTGGCCTAATAAATAGGAAGTTTCATTGCCAACCCAAAGTGGTAGTGTGAATCCACCATGTAATTAGCCCTTCAGCTGCACACACAAGCACGTTAATCATAGCACAACCAAGTGCCTCTACCAACATGATTCATTTGACTCAGCAGTTTCCAAATGTCCCATTCTGCATGTCAACAAACCAAGAAAATGTATATGCATAGCAGAGAAAACTATGATTCTGTGGTATGTGGAACAATCAGAGGAGAAAGGAAGGTACCAGTTGTATTTAAGTATGTGTTCTCTTTGACAGAGTTAAAGAGAACTGTGCACCTTTGCATGATTGAATTTGGTTGATGGTGGTGAGGACATACGTAAGTATGTTCTGACAGGTCAAAGAACTAATCCTGTGATTATTATAAAACCCAACCCAACCCACTGTCATCAGGCTGATTCCAACTCATAGTGACCCTCCATCGGGTTTCTTTCTGGGAGGAGATTCTATCTTTCTCTTGCAGTGCAACTGGTAGATTTGAACTGCTGACCTTTTAGTCAGCCACATGATACATAACACACTGTGCCACCAGAGATGCTTGCCATTATGATAGTAGGTACATTTATGCCAAATACTTTGTTATTATTTTCTCCTTCTTAGGTAGTGCCTTTTAAGCAACGATAAGAAGAAAGAAAATTGATGTGATTTTTAAATGCTTGATATTACTTGATATATAGTAATAATGATATAATTGCTAAGTTTATGTTAAAAATTAAAGATCATGGATACTCTGTGGTGTTCATCTATCTGGAAGCACCAGGATAAAGGTGAACAGACTTCAATAAGAAAGTATAGTACCATGCCTTCTGGGTTTGGCTGAATTCAATTTAGTGAATTGCTGAAAAGAAATGATGCTTACATTTCATTATGGTATTCATTGTTTTCTTCTCTAAAGTAATAAATTTTTCATGCAATTATTTATTGAACAAATGTACTGAGTACCTAATTACATACATGGCACTGTGTTTCTCATTGAGTATATAGTGGAGAACAGAACAAATAAACTTGCCCTTGGAGTTTAAAGTCTAGTGGAAGAGAAAAACATTATTTTTTTTAAAAAAACCACCCCTAAGTAAATAGGTAATTAAAATATGTGGCAAATGGTGAAGCGAAAGATCAGAATATTATGAAAGAGATGGTCAAAGGGAAATGACTTTGGATTAGTGAGTTGGGAAAAGCGCTTAATGACTGAGAATACTGTGTACTCCACATCAAGACGGATGCCAGAGTGGATCAATTAAATGCACGTGCCTTTTAACCACAAAAAGTAAATGAATATTCACCTGTAACACACAGTTCTAATGTATCAGTGATGTGACCTTTGTGCCAGTCATTTAATTTCTCGTGGCCTTAATCTCCTCATCTAGAAGAGAGAGGTTGGATGAAACAAACTCTCAGCTTACAGTTTCTCCAGTTCTTTGAACACTTATAGTAGCAAAAACATTATAAGGAAGGATAAAGATAAATAAAATAGATTCTACCCCTTTGTATTTATTGTTAGGTGCTGTCAAGTGGCCTCCTACTCATAGTAATCCTATGAACAAGAGCTCTGACCCTTTCCATATCCTGAGTTAACCTTACTCAGGTTTCTGACACACCTGACCCCATTGCCCAAAAGATATGAGATGGAGCTTCTAAATCTTTGCTTCCAAGGAACAGCCTGGTTTCACTCTGTAGGAGCACCACAGCTCAAAGGCTTCAATTCTTCTTCTGTCATCTTTATTCATTGTCCAGCTCTCAAAAGCTAAACAAACAATTGAGAAGACCCTGGCCTGGATCAGATGCACCTTAGCTTCTTGACTGACATTGTTGCTCTTTAAAACTCCGGAGAGATCCTTGACAGATTTTATCAGTGCAAGTCATCTTTTGATTTCCTGACTGCTGGTGCCAAGGATGTTGATTGTGGATCTGAGTAAGAGGAAATAGTTAACAACTTCAATCTTTTATCCATGTGTTTTATCCATTATGCAGCCTATTGGCCCAGTGATGATAATCTTTGTTTGATGTTGAGATGCAATTTATATTGAAGGCTGCAGTCCTTGACCTTTTGCAGCAAATGCTTCAAGTCCTTCTCAGTCTCAGTGAGACAGGTTATGTCATCTGCATAATGCAGGTTATGGATGAGTCTTCCTCCAATCCTGATGTCACATCCTTTTTCATAAATTTCAGCCTCCTGAATGATCTGGTCAGCATGTAGTTTGAAAAGATATGAAGAAGAGATACATCCCTGACACACTTCTTTCTTGATTTTGAACCATATAGCGTTCCCCTTACTTTGTTCAAACAGTAGCTTCCTGGTGTAGGTACTTCAGTCTTTTGCTACTATTGGTGTTTTGTATTGTTGAGTCAGAACTGACCCCTACCTGACCCTCCAGTGGGTTTTCAGAGATAGTAAAGTGTGTGGGAGGAGATTGTTTATCCTTCTCCTGGTGGAGGAGCTGGTGAATTCAAGCTGTGTGCCTCTGGGATTACAGTGCAGTTTCTTACCACTACGCCACCTATTATATATACTGTATTACTGAATTTACTTCTTTTTTAAAAGTAAAACTTAAGAACTGTTTTTAAAAAAATGATTAAAGTAAGAAATACTTCCTCTTCCACCAGCCTATCTCTGCTGGGAGACAAGAGTTCTTTTTTGATTGTTTCAGGTCTGTTTCTGTGGCTTCCCTCTGTTACTTTGTTTTGAGTATAGATTTTTTGCTTTCAGATGTAAAAACTACACTTGTATACATGAGTAGAAAATAAGTGTCCAAATGTCAATAGCAGCTTATGTTGCTGTTTTCTACTTAATCTATCTTCCTAACATTTTTTGCCTTTTCCTCCCCAGATTTTGTGCTTATTTTCTTT